GTCAGCTGTTTGAAGCATTCTAAGATAATTGCTGGTGGAATAGAGCCAGAAACCTTTCCAAGATAAAAAAGAAAACACTAGAATATTAAACTGTGGTCATGGAGGTGAGAATAAGAGAGAATGTGCACAAATTCTCTGCAGGGAATGAAACACAGAAACAGTGTCCCCTATGCTCTACAGAGCTGTCAAAGATTATTCTTGCAGTTGTAGAATTAGCAGACGAAAGTTTCTTCTTTAGACTGAAGTGGGGCTTGTTGCAGAATGTGACTGGGGCCCCTGGGAGCCCTATACATCTAGGTTACTATAACACCTTACTGAAAGTCAGTTCAAGATTCACAGATTCAAGCTATCAATACTAAAGGCTGACAGATGTAGGGATGCTTTGATTGTCTGGGAAGTAAGATCAAGGGAGGAACTCCAGAGATTGTTTCTAGGTTCAGTTTCATTCATCACCTAGAAGGACATTTAACACCACAGTGGTGAAACTCATAGCTCCTTCTAAATGTGAGAAGCAGCAAACACAGTAAACTATTTATAAGAAACATATGAAAGAGTTCTGTCTGAACTGCAGTTCAAAAGAAGCACATCCCAACTCAGTCGTGGGAGTGCCCTTTGACTGTCCCAAAAGTACATCAAGACAAGACCTGGTGCATACCACTCCTCCTCAGTTCCCTCACCACAAGCCCACATTTCTGTAGGAGGAAAGCCCAGCTGTGTTGTGTAGTGATATTTTCCAGCAAGATCATAGAATCACAGAATGGTTTGGGTTGGAAGAGACCTTAAAGATCATCTAATTCCAACCCCCCTGCCATGGGCAGGGACACCTCCCACCAGACCAGGTTGCTTAAAGCCCTGTCCAACCTGGCCTTGAACGCTTCCAAGGAGGGGGCATCCACCACTTCCCTGGGCAACCTGTGCCAGTGTCTCACCACCCTCAGAGTCAAGAATTTCTTCTTTATAGATATACCTACCCTCTTTCAATTTATAACTATTACCTCTTGTCCTATCACTATATTTATTGATAGATAGATAGATAGACAGACAGACAGATAGATAGATATCTAATCTCAGTGATACACAAAACGGGGTACTGGGAAACTGAAGGAAAAAATATGCCCTGCAATTCAGAAATACTCAGAGGTACTAGAAACACAGGATGAGATTCAACCCAAAGACATACTGAAAGTGAGTTTAAAAGATGCAGTTATCTGCTTACCATCAAAAAGCACGCCAAAGGTGGGAAGCTTACTGGGAAACCATGACAGTGAAAAGCTTAAAAATCATAGAACCTGATTTAAAAGATTTTTTGAAATGAAGCTATTTCAGCTTTTTTTTTACACTAGACACTGAGGGATTTAGCTTTGTTCAACAGTTTAGAAAGAAAAAAACAACCCTGAGATGCACAAGCAAAAAGATCTTGTCAATGGCATATTCAGCTGAGTTGTACAAATAATTCACATGTAGTAATCCACTGCACTGGGTACAGCCTCTGTGTAGATTCCCTCTTTTTCCCCTTGGATCTGCATTTTGGTGCAGAGAACACGAGGCAAAGCAATGCAGCAGAGATTTACAGATATCAGTAAAGTTCTGGGCACTTAGGATTTCTACATTTTTATGTTTCCACTTGTTCATAGATTTGCTGCAGACCTTGATCTCCCTGTAACATTAGACTGTATTTTGTTTGACTACCATTGTACACTCTGTGAATGGGAGCTACAATAGGTGAACTCCAATCTACAAAATAACAAAGCACTACATATGATTTCTGACCACCCTCAGCTGGAATACCCCAATTTCTGACCCCCATCATCAGCCAATACTAACAAGAAAGTAAGTACATCTTTCTTAGGTCACCTTCTCCTATAGGACATAGTAAATCTCTTCCTGCCTGTTTCTAATAGTTTGGATCAAATGTCCTGAGTATCTGCCGCTGATGAAACCGAGACAGAGCATACCCAGGTTCTTCACCCCTGAGCTTTGGCACTTCTGAGATTCTACAGATGCAAACTCGAATAGCCCTGAGGAACTGAATGTAAGGCTGTAACACTGACTTTTTTTTCCTTAGGAAGGATATGAGCTCCTGAGCTGTCCTAGAGCCTTACCCTCCAAATGGTTCTTTCCCATTTCATGTCTGTGTAAGCCTCACCTATGTTGTCTTGTCACAAACTAGAAATTAGCCATGCATCCATCTGTCCCACTGCTAACCTATAGACTGAAGAAGGCACATTAAGGTACAGATGAAGACTGAAATGGATACATTCCACTATTGCAGATTCAAGGTACAGGATGTAGACAGAAACCTTATACTGGTGCTGCAATGGGAGTCATGCAAATGTGGGGAAAAGATGGGCATAAAAATTCAAGATTTAGCACCGCAGACTGAGAAAGATCACTTTAGACGGGATTACACTGGATAATTTTAAGATATAACTACTCTGAATGACAATAAAATTATTTGTACTGATATTTTACTTCATGTACTATGTAAAGCTTAGTATTTTAACCATTTGTTCTCAAATTTCTCTTGCCTGTGTTCAGACTTCTTGGGATAGATTCTGGTTTTCCACCATCTATGGTTAGAGAATCACAGAACTCACTGAAGGATTTAGATGCAAGGGGCCTCAGGAGGTCCCTAGTCCCAACCCCTGCTCACAGCAGGGCTGACTTCAGAGCTAGGTAAGTAGTTCATGGCTGTGTCCTGGTGAGTCTGGAACATCTCCAAGGGTGGAGATTCCCCCAGCTTCTCTAGGCAACCTGACAAAGTCCTTTCTTTAGCCTTCCTTGGGGAGGAGGAGGAAGAGAGCAGGAGGAATGCAGCCTTACAGCAAGCGGAGAAATAATGCCATCAGTATTGTACGGGGAAGGGTGTAATAGCTGTGTACGGGTGGGAATAACATCCTTGATGAATGGCAGAAGAGATACCACAAAAGCAAGTTCTTTCATATTTATGTCCCTCAAGGAGGAAGAGTCCCACGATGCCTTCCTACATAGAGAATCCTTATGGCTCAGTTGTTCTCTCATGATTTTTGCCTTGAAAAGCTGTCACTTTCCCTCAATGCTGAGGAGCTTACTACAAGAAAAAAGCAACCAGTAATTCTGCCAGATAAAGTGGCACGACTATCACTCCGTGACATGCTGCCACAGCTTGGGGAACAAAATGGGCTTCTGCCACTGCATACGGATAGATTTCTTAGATATCGACTGCCAGGAGGGCTCAGTGGCTTTTACCACACTAAGGTCCAGGCCTGGCCAGGGGCTCCGTCAAGCCCACGCCCCGGCGGAGGAAGGGCGGCGGCGGTGGCGAGGGCTGCCCAGGAGGTGGCAATCGGGAGCCTCTGACGGGAGTGGAGCAAAGGTGGAGGGAGGCTCCCAGGAAAAAAAGGTGGCTGCCTTTAAGGTGGGTTTTATTTGCCTGCCAGATGGGAAGTCTGTGACCAGCCCCTTTAAAACAGGTAAAGGCAGTACGGCTTCTCCACCCACTTTGCCTTGGTCTTTCATCATAACCCTGGGCCAGGCGGGGAGTTGTGCAATGTGTGCACTCCCGTCAAGAGGCTGCAGGAGAGGTTCATGCATTGCCCGCCGGAGCCCGGGCTCCCAGGCCTGAGCCGGGAGAGCAGGCAGGGGCTGGGAGCCGGCTCCAGCCAGCATGGAACTGAGGGCCTGGAGCAGCGGGATACAACTTTCCCTCGGGCTCCTTCTCTTCTGGGCTCTCCTTCCCGCCGAGGTGCCTGGGAAAGAAGGTAAGCATGGTGGGACCCACTGGTCCCTCAGCCTTGGAGGGCTGGGCTTGGGTGGGCAGGCAGAGGGGGACCTCTCTGAGGGGCAGGGATCCCGGCCTGGCCAACACGGCTGGGGGCCCAGGGACACCGCAGCCCGCCTGCAGGGACTGGAGAGGGGCTGGGGTGTCTGGGGAGGGCAGGCGGTTGTGGGGGGATGATGGCCAGGATCAAACCCCATCCAACTCTTGGTGGTTTGGTGAACCAAGCCCAGGTATGTTTCCCCCTCTTTGCTGAAGCACAAATGCCTCTGCATATCCAGTGATCCTGGAGAATTCTGCCTCTCTTCGTTTTAAACATAAGTGTTGCAGATAACAAGTTTAAACACAAACTCAGAAAGCTTCTCCCCCCTGCCAACACCCCCGCAGTTTCCCTCAGGAAGCCCTCTTGGGAGTTAACCCTTGTGAGCAAGGGGACGGTCAATTTTTTGGAGGCTTGGAAGGCGAGAGAGTCTCTTTCACCTATTCCAGTGCTGGAAGGTAGAGCTGGGCTTTACAGTTCTTCTTCCACCTCTTCTCTTAAGACTCTATTGCTTCCCTTCTCTTTTCCACTTTTATTAGATATAGTGATATTTTTTTGCTTCCATCTTGGCAGTTGCACGGTGGTTATGAAACATCTGGGGAATGGGAATTTTAATAAAGAGATGTACATCTCTGTTCTGTTCCCTACCCTCTGCTGCAGTTAATTCCTGCCAGAGACTTCTCGTCTCTTTTGCATGACAAGAGAGGTGTTGGGGCTTTTGCATTCCAAGGACAGCCCCTTTGCTGCTCAAGGCTCTTGATTGAGAGAACTTTGTCCATAACTGGCAGTTCAGCCATGGGCTCACCTCAGACTCTCTCATACTCTTTTTTAAAGCATTCTTGACAAGCACATTTGTATTAAGGACCAAGCTACATGGATGCAGCTAGCAGACGTTGTGGAGGAGGCCAGCCTAGGTGAGAAGTAATATGAGGTAGCACCACGCCGGCTCTGGTTTCCATGAGTGTGTGACCAGTAGTTGGCAGTAACGCTCAGGGACTTCTCTGCCAGCTTTTTCCCTATCTCAACCATCTCATTTGGGCTGTGTCTGTGATCCATTCTTCCTTAATGTGTCTATCTGGGAACGGCTCATTTTCCTAGCGTCCTCTCTTATCTGAAGTCTTTCTTCTTTTTGGGGAGACCTCCTCCCATGTGACTGGACGGCCATGTGAGATTCCTAGCAGTAAGGCTGTGGACCAAGGAGCTAGTAATCCCTGAGTAGTCATATTCTCTGTGCTCTTGTAGTCTTGCCGACTCATTCTTCCTTTCCTTGGAAAATCCCTGTGGTGGGTTTCACTTTGAGAGGTGCTTCCTGAGAGTGGACTTCAGCCCCTTCAGTGGGCACTGGGCAGCTGAAGGAGGAGCTCCTGGGGGTGCAGCAGCACATGGGCTGTGCAAGTTCCTGGCTGCTTCTGAGTGCCTTTTCTCTTGCTCTGCTAGAACTTGCCATGCAGCCCCTCTCACTTCCACATCACTGCTTCGGGTCTGAAGTGCGTGGGACAGATATTATCTGGGTGACGGTTCTGGAAGGACAGGCTACCTCACCCCGGGAGTTTTTGGAGCCAGCAACACAAGAATAATATCTCAAATAGAGAGATTGAGAGCAGAAGGGAAGTGCGTGAGGAGCCTTGTCTGGATGGGGTGTCTGTGGCTAGGAAGGTTTTGCCATATGACCATGCTGCAAACTTGCAAAACCTGGATTCCTGCTTTTTCCTTCTCCCAATCCTGAAAGGGTGTTTCAGAGGTGAGAACACCAGTGCAATCCCTCTTATCTCTGATTCCAGGCCCACAGCCTGCTTCCTCATTCCATGGGACTCTTGCTGATCTGCACTTTATACTGGATTACTTGTAGTTGGCAGGCAGTATTTGTAAAGCAGTCGGATGAAGGGGAGGAAATCTGGTTATTTAAACTCCATTTAAATATTTCCCCCTTCCTACCTTTCAACCCTAAATTCTCTTCGGAGATGTTTAGAAATGACCCCTGTGAATACACCCACAGGCATCTAAAAGGGAATCCAAGGATTTTTTTTTCTGTTTCCTATGTTCCTAAGTTGGGGCTGCTATAGGTGCACTGAATCCAGTCATCTGCACTGGTGACTGGCCCAAAGGTGGGCACAAAGCTGTACCTCCAACAGTACAACTTATTCCAACTCCTCTCCCTTCTCCCTGTTTACCTACAAAGTGATAGATTTTTCAAGACCAGGTTGGACAGGGCTTTGAGCAACCTGGTCTGGTGGAAGATGTGTTTGCCTTTGGCAGAGGGGTTGGAACTGGATGATCTTTAAGGTCCCTTCCAACTCAAACCATTCTGTGATTCTATGATTTTTAACCTCTCTTCAGATCAAGACTTGAGAGCAGACTGATCACATTTTCAAATTTCTTTGAGGGCTAACGATGAACATACTGCTGAATTTCTCCTTTGCCACAAGGCTCCAGGAGCCAAGGCTTAACACCACAGCCATGCAGTGCAGTTCTGCAAGAGGTGGGAATGCTATGTCTGGGAGCTGATATTCTCTTACTGTCATGGCTAAACGGAATTTTGGGTAGGAGAGAGAGTGAAACGACTTCTAGGCCACCATCAGACAGTGGACAATGTGGGTCGGAGGTAGAAGGCTCAGCAGTTTGAGCAACTGATGCATCTCATGGCTTTTGGATACTGTGACAGTGGAAAGTCCCTCCTACAACTTCACACTGCCTCTGTATTTTTCCAGTGTTTCAAGCACCGAATAGTACCTCTAGGGGACACTGATTGATCTTTTCTGTTGGTAATTAATTTGATTGCCTGCCTCTTCATCCTTTTGTCCACCGCGGTGCCTTTTGAAGGTAAGATGTCACAAAGGATATGGAGGCTGAGAGAGAAAGTGCAGGCTTTGTCTTCTGTGAAAAAACAAGGATGAAGATGTTCCATGGGCAACATGAGTTGTGTTACTGATTTTGGTTCCCCCTCCCTTTTTTCTGGTTTTCAGTGGATCTACTCAACACAAGCACTGCACAGGGTGAACTGGGCTGGCTTCCAGACCCTCCAGAAATAGGGGTGAGTACATACCTTCAAGGAAGGGGAGCCACTGGGGTGGAAATACATAATCCAAGTTGAAATTTCACCCTGACTCTCAGAATCAGGCTTTCTCTGCAGCTGCACCTTCTCCTCGACATCACATTGCAGCCTCGCAGCCCCTTCACCTCTGCAGCCTCACCCATGTGCCACCTGTTTGAGGACTGATGCCTCACTGTCTTCCAGTAGCTCTGGGTGCTTAAACATGTTCTTGAAATACATTGTTTCCGTGAAGTAATAATACAATGGAGAAAAAGGAAAAAATGAAATCGTCACCCAGTTTTTCATCCTAACATGTTGCAAATACATCTTATATCCCCTTTTTCTGGGCAAATAGCCATGACAGAAGTATTCCTGTCTCTAAGTCTCCTAAGAATTTAGAGTATTTGTCTGTTTAGGGTGGTTCTGGGTTTTTTTTCCTTTTGAGTATTAAGCTGAATGATTCAGTTACAAATTTTTTGTAGATGGCAGCTGACTGAAGAAATAACTGTTAACTCATGGGGCAGCAATCTGCCCTACTGGGAGGGCTGCGAGGTTTTATGACTTTACACCCAGCCTTAATGCTGTGTTTGGCCTACACAGCTGATAATGAGAGAGGCATTTCTCTTTGTTCCATGACTGTAAAACTGAGTTGGTAGAAGCGCTTCAAAATTTACTTCTGAAACCACTGCAAAATTGGACCCAAAAAGACAGCTGAGCTCGCAGCTATTTCTGTACAAGTACAGCTATTTTGTATGAAGTGCAGCTGAGCAGTTCCTCTGACGTCACAACCTCCATTCTGGAAGATGCTTTCCTCTGTAGCAGCAGGGCTGTGGGAGTGGTGGGAGGAAGGCACGAAGGAAAGGCAATTCAAGGACTAAGTGCAGTAGTTAGAACCTATGTTAATGTATAGTTCCAGTTCCTCATTCATGCGCTTATCTTTCTAGCAAGTCCCAAGCTGTCCTATGGAGAGAGAGTTTTACCCTTGCTGCTTATAAAGTAGACCTGGGTTCAGCCTGTTCCTAGCTAATTTTCATAACTTTCCTCTGTAATGTGCTGTGGCTGGTTTGAATTCACCCCAGCCTCCTCCTACTCCTGGTAGTCTTGCTGGGTGAACTGGAGCCAGACAGTGAGGTTCTCCTGTGCTGGCATAACTGCATTTGCTTCATTAGTCCAGCTATTTCGGCTATTACTATTGTTGTTATTATTATTACACCCTGCTCAAAACAGGTGTCCTAGTGAAGCACACACATGCAGACCATGTTTTGCTCATTATTCCCTTTGTTGTCCCCATCTACTGTCTGTGTGGTAATTTTAACCCAATACAAGGCTCCAGGCATATTCAGGATGAAGCCTGCCTCTTGAAGAGACTGGAAAAAACCAATGAAAAGTGCATTTAAAAAATAATCTGCTAGAAAGAAGACAAAAAGGTTATTACAGAGCATCTGATGTTTTGCACAGTGGGCTTACAGCAGAGCTGGGAGTTTGCAAACCCTTCTGCTTGTGCTGCATCTGCTTTTTAAAAATACCGTGGCCTGAGAGCAATCTAAAGTAATAGATTGACAGATGATG